GTAAATTGTTTGTAATCATTATAAACACAGAAAACGGAAAACACCCATTATGGAAAAATGTTAGGTTGTTTTGTTTACCTTTCATTTACAACATTCATCAGTTCTTAAGAAAATCCTAGACATTGGCCAGATTTGTTGTCTTTTAGCATATTTTAACACACCTGTAAACATAAAGACAAATCTACATTATTTCAGAATATAGTTATTTATCCAGAGCATATTTAGTTTACTATCAAGAAGCACCGATATATATTGCATTAATTATATAGAATTATAGAAAAGGGTTCTACCATAATTATGACAAAGGTCTAACTTCCCCAGAACCCAAGGTTAGTTACTATAAATTTTTTGCAGCTCTTAGGAGGTTTGGGGTGACAGACAAAGCCCACTAAGACAAGGCCCACTAAGGTGCCACCTCTGAGCACTACACCTCCAAGTCAGGATTAAGTACCAACTGAATGTTGGAGCCGATTTATGCTTAAGAGAAATGCCATGTACTTTCAGTTACAAGATAAGTAAGTTCTGAGGATCTGCTGTATAGCATGGTGACTATAAGTAATAATACTGAATTGTATAATTGAAATTTGCTAAGAACACTTTCTTAAAGGTTTTTATAAAAATAAGAAAGAACTAAGCAAGGTGAAAGATGTGTTAATGAACTTGATAGTGGGATTCCTTTCACAACATGAATCTATAACAAGTCATCACATGGTATACTGCAAGTACATATAATACAATTTTATTTGTCAATTTATCTCAATAAAGCGGGAAAAAGGGAAAAGAAAAAAAATAGCCTTTCTCTAGAAAAAATATAACTACTGTCTTATAATGTTATCACACTCTCATTAGTAATTATAAACAAATCGATAAACAATTTGGAACAAGAGAAAAGGAATATAAATACCAAGATTGATTTGTTTTCTTGTCATGAATTCATTCATTATCAACTATCGTCCGAATAAAGATATTAATTATTCAGTTCTGTTCAGTCCCTGCACTGTTGCCTCCCTGTTTAGGACTAGTGCTCCCTGCTCTCTTATACTGATATCTGTACATGACAATTATAATCAGTGAGATATTATTTATGATGAGTATTTATTTAATGTTCTTTATTTTCCTGCTCTTCTGCAAACCCCATGAAGATAGGAAGTATATCTGCCCTGTTCAGCAGTGTGCTCCCAGAGCGTCAAGCAGAAATAATGCGCCTGGAAGGCATTCGAGAACTATGTGTTGAATCAGTGACTAAATATGAACACATGGAGCCCAGCTGGCTTGACTCAGTGGTTGAGCATTGACCTATGAACCAGGAGGTCAAGGATTCCCATTCAGGGCACATACTGGGGTTGCGGGCTCCATTTCCAGTGTGGGGCATGCAGGAGGCGGCCAATCAATGATTCTCTCTCATCATTAATGTTTTTATCTCTCTCTCTCCCTTCCTCTCTGAAATAAAAAAATATATATATTTTTTTAAATGAATGCATGCATTTATGACCACAGTTTGGGTCTCCTCACTTCTCTAAGCTACAGAACTCACCTCCTTGCAAGTCCCTGACTCACTCTAGTTCACCCTCTGCCCCACAGCCTCCTTCATGTCTTTGGAAGTGCAGCTCCATCCTTCCCCTTCCATCATGTTACAGTTGAGAAGACTACATGCAGGGAGGGCATGTGGCTCGCACCGGGTGAGGGACCACAAGTGACAGTGCCAGGTTTCCATGCCAGTATTCCGACCCCAGCTCCTTCCAGGACATCAAGTCACTCTGCTTTCCTCCCTTGCTCTTTCCTGCTTCGGTTTTTACCTGTTTTGCCCTGTTTCTTTCCTTCCTTCCTTCACTCTTGGCACAGTTTCCCTGGGTCAATTTGGCCACTGGAGTTTCTTTTCTACTGTAAACAGACTTCCCCCTTTTCTCCCAGTCCGATAATTTGCAAGCTCGATGCAGGCGTGCAGTAGCATTCATATGATTGCAGGTATGGGCTAACGTCAGTGAAACAATAAACTTACTGCAAAACGTACTCATATTCTTGTGGAAATATTTCCAACTGTTTTAGGCTTCCCACTTTCTTAAACGAGGGGTGTTAGAGTCAGGAGAGGCCGTGAGCTTCAAGTGCAAAGTTTCAGGTACTGAGGAAGTTCAAGCCTCTCCTACTCCCCGACCATGGGAGTGAGGGGTCAATAGGTGTTAAAGAAATGTGTCAGTTAGAATCATTAAACAGGGCCTGGGACAGCAAGCTGGGGGTGATGTATCTAACATTGGAGTTGTTCAAATGAGAAAAACACCACCTGTTTGGGCTGGTATAGGATAGAGCTACCTGGGCTGACCATGGTATAGTATCTATTGAATGAAATCAGAACCTCAGAAGTTCAAAGCTTTAAATGCCTTTAAGTCCTCTTCTATGAGCCACTGGCTGTAGAAAAGCTCTCTTCTCTCCCAATACCCATCCTCTCCTCCCTCCTCCCCCACAGTTTGGGACCCACCTCCTTTTGCAGCTACAGGGAAGAAACAAAGCTACCATGATGATGGACGAATAGTGAAGGGTTTTATCATAATTATGGCAAAGGCCTGACTGTCCCAGATCCCAAGAGAAACCAAGTAGCATTCATGGTCCTGCCGCACCCTGTGAGTATAGAGCACTCCTCTGTGAGGCTTTCTTTCATTGACCCCATTCCCCTTGGCAAACAGGGGGATCTGCAAAGGATGCCCCATCTGAAGGTTGATATTGACTCACTGGATGTGTAGAATCGAGAACAAGGGACTGGCTCCAAACTGAGAAAAGGGGCACTTGGATCTACTACAATCAGAAAGCAATGCCAACTCTAAGTATGAACTTATAGAATAAGCTTTTCTTTATTAAGTTACCAATTATCAAAGTGGCCCCAATTTGAAGAAATTAATATTAAGTAATAATAATATCGATGGTGACAGGCACAGTTATTGCATGTAATATTGCCAGAATAACTTATAAGTAATGTATAATTTCCTAAATAACAAATAAAATGAGGTGATTCGAGATCATTCCGTGACGTGGTAAAGAGTTATGCTTGAAGGTTCCTGACTTATTTTAACCAACTCTAAATTAAGTGTCACTGAATTTATGTAAATTAACCTAAGCTTATGATAACAACAATGCACAAGCCTTGTGAGAATTCTGAAAGCAAACTTTAAAAGAAGGATCATCATACATGGCCCATGGACACAGACAATGGGCCAGTGAGGTCCTGGGGCAGGGACAGGGGGTGGAGGCGGGCTGGAGAGGATCAATGCCAGGGGGTGTGGGAGGGAGGTACATGTGTAATGCTTTCAACAATAAAGAATTATTTAAATAAATAAATAAATAAATAAATAAATAAATAAGAAAGAAGGATCATCAGAAGACTGAGATGAACACCCACAGTGATGTCATGGTGCTAGTTTGTTGTTGAGATGAAGTGACAAAAATGACACATCTGTTTTCTTCCTCCCCCAAACCCATAACTCCAGTCTAATCATGAGAAAAACATCAGACCAACTCACACTGAAGGGCATTCTACACCACCCTAACCAGTGCTCCTCAAAGCGTTAAAGTTCATTAAAAACAAGGAGAGACTGAGAAACTATCGCAACTAAGACAAACCTCAGGATTCATGAGGAACAAATGTGGGATCCTCAAGGGGATTCTGGGGCAGATAGAGGACAGTTAAGGAAAAATAAGGAAATCTAAGTAGAGTAGGAACTTTAGTTAGCAATAGTGTATCAAGATTGACTCATCAGTTGCGACAAATGTATTATAATGTAAGATATTAACAGTATAGGAAACTGGGTGTGGGGTTTATGGTAACTCTTTGTACAATATAGCTTTTCTGTAAACTAAAATTTTTCCGAAATAAAATGTTTACTGAAAAATGCCTAGCAGATATGGTTGAAAAGGGATCTTCTGCAATAGTATTTACAGAAGAAGATGCTTTTTAGTTTATAAATTATTTCCATAATTTGTGACAGTTCTCACATCTGCTACTATAAAATTCATCGCAGCTTCTCTGCCTCTTGGGGAAAATGCATTTAATTATCAGTGAAATTCAACTTCAGCTTGTTATGATGAATGATTTGAACCTGTCAGCTCCCCCCCCCACTAAAAACAAAAGAACTGAAATGAAATACAGTCTTATTCATATTCTCCCTTCCTTCCACCTGCTTCATTTAATTGATGAAGGTTTGAGCTTTTATTAATCTTTTTGAGCTCTTCTGTAAGATGCAGAAAAAAACTAATATGATATCATTGTATCTAGGTAATGTGTGTGCTTTGTGAAATTGATACACCCTGCCAAGACATAAATTACTTAAGCTTTGATAAATGTGTTGAAATCAGGGAATGTTCAAACAGATAAAGCACAGCAATTCCTCTTTTTCTTCCTTGTTGAAACTGAATTTTGTGCTTGCATTTAAATGTGGGTTTTTTTGCATTATTATTGTAATATGATGGGACAAAGACAGCAGTGATGCTGATATTAGCATAGAGAGTCTCAGCAGGTACAAAAGTAACCAGTGTGATACAGGCATGTGTTTTATAGAAAACAGCCAACAGCCTTGGACAGGGTGGTTTGCCAACAGCTTCAGAAACACCTACAGTCCCCACCTCCCCCCAAGAGTTGTATCACAGAAATTGTCAAAGAATAAGGGCACTGTGGATGTTCGTCGTGTACATGGTGTACTTTCAGCTCCCTTTGCTGACTAACTTGATAGGTTGGAATCAAAGATCAAAAATCCACAAACACATTTGCTGGCCATGAGCGCTCACCGGCGCCTGCCATCTGGATGTGCCTCATATGCCGGTGAGCCTGGAAACAGGAGGAAACTTGATGGATGCTCCAGGGTCAAGCAGGTGGATTTCTACTCGGTCATTAATGTAGCCTATGACACGGAACACATTTTTTTGATTAACCATAATCAGTGGCCTAAGGCCTGAGAATTCATAACGCCTTCGGAAGACAATTCTTAAATAGGAGACATGGGACTGTCCATTGGACCATGCAAGAGCCATCAGTCATTGAATGCCTCTGCCAGACATTAGGCTCGGTAATTTCTATCTGTTCTTCTGGTTAGTCCTTACCATCAACCAGCAAAGGACAGATAGGTGAAAAACGGAGGTCCACATCAAACACTTAAGCGAGGGGGGATGAGTCAGCAGGCACCAAGTCCTGTGCTCTTTCTCCCATGCTGCTTCCATGCTGGGAGTGTGTGTGTGACTGTGTGGGGCACAAGACTGTGGCTCATCCAACCCCAGTCGTCCCTGATGAGGTCTTTGGAGGTGAAGCATGAGCCTTGTGGTCTTGGGTCATACGACCATAGGAGAGCGTGCCCTGGCAGTGGTGATGCACAAATTTTAAGAAGATATTCCAGGGGGAAAGTCTGAACAAGTTATACAAAAGGGAGAGAAAGTTGGGAGAAGAGCTGCAATTGTCAGCTTTTTAAGACAACTAGAAACATATTTACTCTTTTAATAATACATCATTCATCTGATAGCTTCTTGAGATTTGGATCTAGATATGGAAATCCATATTTGTGAGAAATGTCCATGTACTTTAAAGTAATTAAATAGATGAAGTTATATACAGCTTTTTCTCAACTTGTTCAATGTTGTTGTCAAAGCAAGTGAGAAATCTAATGGTCTAGGAGGGCAAGGAAAAAAATTGAAATAGCCTGGCCAATGTGGCGCAGTGGTTGAGTGTCGTCCCAGGAACCAAGAAGTTGCCGGTTTAATTCTCAGGTCCCGGGCTCGATCCCCAGTGGGGGTGCACGCAGGAGGCTGCCAATCGATGATGTTTCTCTCTCATCAATGTTTCTTTTTCTCTATGCCTTTCCCTTTGTCTCTCTAAAAATATATTTAAAAATTAAAATATATATGCACACATGTTTCATAGGAGCTGTCAGTGAATATTTTCACTGGGACAGAGAACAGTTATAGATCTGTGTTAATAGTTAAATTTTGTTATTTTTTTATAAAGGCCAACCTTAAAATCAAGGGCTTTGGGGGCAGGTTTGAACCTGAAAAGTATTCTGTTAGAATTTATTTTGTAGAAATCAAATTCTGTTTTAAATTCTCATATGGAGAATCCTTTTTGAAGAGTTCAGGAGCTCTTCTAAAAGAAAATAATCACATCTAATTGAGCTATTTGATGAACTTGGAATTTTTTTTTACGCTCATTTATTATGGTGAGTAACATATGTTTGAGTCAAGTTGTTACAGAGTAAATTACCACAAAAAAATCTTCAAAAATGTTTAAAAGCCTCAGTAAATGGCCATGTTTTATTTTATCATCATTGAATAATCTCAGAACCACCACATAATTCCTAGAGATAAGTGAAGGATCTCACAGCCCTAACCGGTTTGGCTCAGTGGATAGAGCATCGGCCTGCGGACTGAAAGGTCCCAGGTTCGATTCCGGTCAAAGCCATGTGCCTTGGTTGTGGGCACATCCCCAGTAGGAGGTGTGCAGGAGGCAGCTGATAGATGTTTCTCATTCATTGATGCTTCTAACTATCTCTCTCCCTTCCTCTCTGTAAAATATCAATAAAATATATTTTTTTAAAAAGAGAAGGATCTCACAATGCCTATCTCTGAAAGAGGTGTATCCTGTATTCCAAAATGTGCCAAGGCCCATTAACTTAAGACTCTTCATGATTGTGAACTTGTCCTTAAATGATGGGTTCCATGTTTATAGGTTTTCAATAATAGGAAAGTAAGGAGAAAATCGGGCAATGTGCTAAGTCAAGAAAAATGATCCAGGCAGGAAAATGTACAATGTAAAAAACATTTTAAGAACAAGGGGGTTGGAGGGGAGTCCCAGCATTTTGCTGCTGGCAGCAAACATTGTCATACTTGGGAGTGAAAAAATATTTAATCAGCAGAATGTGTGCAAAGGTAGGAATTTAGATTTTTTTTTAAGGCAAGCTAAAAGAGGAAAATGTCAAAAAAGATTTACCCTATGAGAGATAGAAAGTGAGGAGAGCATGAGGGAATAGAGTAGAAAGTTGGAATCAAGGAAAAGTTATGGCTCTCAGTAAGTGGGAGGTGTGTCTGTCACCATTGACCAAGCAGGGCAGAGCACATGGAATACTGGAAATAGTGAAAAATAGATAACAGACTGGGCAACAGGAATCATCACAGAGAAGAGAAACTGGACCTTGATCATCGTGGGGTTTCTTATCTGCTTGAGTGTCCTTGGGTCTCGCTGGAGAGAGGCCTGGCACATCTCTTGCACCAGGCTGCATCCGTTCTCGGGAAACTCAAGTCATGCCTGGGGCCAGTACTCCTCCACAGGCTATTCCCCTTTGATTTGAATGGGGTTTGTGCACATCATAATTAAGAGTATTTAAAATCAGAAAGCCGGTTACAGTATCAGAAATGCTCAGCATATTTGAGCCAGATCCCTCCCTCTTTTCCTAATGAATATGCTAGCCATTCAACACCAGCAGAGAGAGAAAAGTATCAACTCAGGAGGTGTAAGCCCCTAAGAGGAGGAAGTATGGATTTAGGTTCTCAAAATAGTAAGAAAGTACATCATATCCATTTGCCCTTCTGTCAAAACTCAGTAAGTTAAGTGAAAAGAACCTTAAAAAATACTAGACTTGAGGAAGCAAAGTCTTCAGGAAATTAATCAAAGAGCCCGAAATATATTATGAACCTTTCCTCCGAAAGCAAAAATAAGAAAGCCTACCCATACATTTAAGCCCTTGGATTCCTACTCTAAAGTGATTTTGGGGATGAGGCATAGGTGAACAGACTTTTCACAAAGCTGTATTAGAATTTGAACTTCTAAACCTTTAAGAACTTATAAAAGATAACATCTTATTAATCTCTACCATACAGTTGAGTACAATATTTATAATTGACGCTATGTCTCTTTTTTTCAAAATTGGATAGAAAGCAATAATTTTTGTAATAATCTGAAGCTAGTTTCATGAGGTGCTTTGCCACGTTTGAAAGACTTGGGGAAACAGTGCATAAACACAGCCTCAGTCCCGTCTCATCCTCTTCATCATGCTGACAGTCTTCCCAAGAGTCATCACCAGCTTGGTTGGTGCCATTAGAGATAAGAGGCTATCTGTGTTTCCACTGGAAACCTCTATTTTCCAGACTTTATAACTCTTTTATAAATATTCACTCCAGGCAACAGTTTCATATATTATGATTCTGTACCTCAAAATCTATACTGAACTTCACTAATGCTTTTTAGAAATCCCGGGGATGCTTACACTACTACAAAAGAACCTAAAGAAAAAGTATGTGCAGTATGATTAGATCCAAAATACTGTGGAGTCTAGAAGCCATGTGTACATATAACTCTTTTTTAGCAATTCTATCTTTCAGAGTATAATTCAGCTGTAATAAAATGTATTGCATTATATACAGATTATTAATTAATTCAAATTATACATCTCTAATTTATGTTTCTATAAAGGCAACTAAATTTGAAATTATATTTTTTCAGCTAAAACTTTTGCACAGTACTCTATTATTAACCATGCTCCTTTTTTGTTACAGAGTTTGAGATGGAATTCTATCAAAAGCCATGAGATTATATGACCTGTCTTTGAATATAATAATATCCTTAATTAATATGTCTAAACATATTTAAGACATCTATATCTTCTATCCAGATGGTGTCTAGCTCCTTGAGAGAAACCTTCAACATTCCAGATTGGTCTTCTACCTGAAAGAAAAGACATCACAAATATAATGGTTTTATTAAAGAAGAGACCAAAATATACTTCTTCCCCCAGTCTGGAAAGACAGGATTGTAAAGATGGGGAAACAGAGTAAAATCACATCAACCCCTTAAAATGAAGCATATTCTTCGTAGATTCACCATTTTAATGTTTGTACTTGAGGATGTACTTGTTTGAATTGAATGCTCGTCCTGTTACACCGCTGTGCCAGCTGTGTGTGCCAAGTGCTATTGAGCAGGAATCGAAGTCATATTGCCAGAATTTCCCGGGTGTTCTGGCTTTTTAGTACGTGTGTGCTCCAAGTCTAACCTCAAATGTACTTCTTCTCTTTTCTTTCCCACAGTTACTTTGTGACAGCAGGACGGCGGTGCACGCCACAGACGGGCTGGACTGGGAGGACAAAGATGGTCCGGGGACCCTGGTGGGCAGCGTGGTTCACTCGAGGGTCCTCAACCCCCTGCGCCTGTTTGTGAAACCGCCCGCGGTCCCGAAGCCCGGGCACCTGGCCTACGCGGACAGCTTGGACAGCTTCTGGGACTGGCTGGCCAACATCACGGAGGCCCAGGAGCCGTTGGCAAGAACTAAACGGAGGCCGATCGTCAAAACGGGAAAATTTAAGAAAATGTTTGGCTGGGGTGACTTCCATTCCAACATTAAAACCGTGAAACTCAACCTGCTGATCACGGGGAAGATTGTTGACCACGGCAACGGGACCTTCAGTGTTTACTTCCGACACAACTCCACGGGCCTGGGCAACGTGTCGGTGAGCCTGGTGCCCCCCTCCAAGGTGGTGGAGTTCGAAGTGTCCCCGCAGTCCTCCCTGGAGACCAAGGAATCCAAAGCTTTCAATTGTCGCATCGAGTACGAGAAAACAGACCGGGCGAAGAAGACGGCCCTGTGCAACTTCGACCCGTCCAAGATCTGCTACCAGGAGCAGACGCAGAGCCACGTGTCCTGGCTGTGCTCCAAGCCCTTCAAGGTCATCTGCATTTACATTGCCTTTTACAGCGTCGATTACAAACTCGTGCAAAAGGTCTGCCCCGACTACAATTACCACAGCGAGACCCCTTACCTGTCCTCTGGCTGAATCCGTCCGCAGTGATGGAAAGGAGGGACGGGTCTATGTTTCATCAGAATGACCAAGAACCACGCCAGCTCTTCCGGGGAAAGGATCCCGTTTATGGCAGTGAACCTTAGTTCCCCAAGAGGTTTACAAATTTAAAAAAAAAAAAAAGGAAAGGAAATGAAGCATCTTTCAACGTAAAGTGTGTTTGTTTCAATCGTAAGTACCTTAATCGGGAGAGTCAAACTGTTTATGAAGCCATCATTTTCACGTAGGATGGTGAAGGCCTCTGAATATTGTTTCCCTAAAAGAAGCATCAGTGGTAGCAACATGTCACGAGAGAGAATCGAATTATGCATGTGATAAACATTGCTCTTGAAATGAGCCTGCCTTGAACTATGTTTTGGACGGTTACCTTAAAAATAGCAGATTCCGTAAAATCACTGAGAAGATTGTATTTGATAGGTGACTTGCACTTCTGACATGGGATTTTTTTTTATTGCTGTCTTCCCCCCGCTCCCCACCCCCCCATCTGTGCGGTTACTGAGATGAGAGATGAAGGGGTGAAATTTGTTTCAACACTCGCGTGTGAAGTTACAGTCCCACAGTGCAACTAAATACATTATTATTGGAGCTGGAGTTGGTGAGTGTGACATAAACAGCCCTGTGTTGGTCACCGCCTTTATAATTCTCATCTGAGTAGTAATATTGGTGTATTGGGAAAGCAAACCTGGAGGTATTGTAAGTCAGTTCAACAATAATGAAGATCATGATGCTTTTAGATTCTTTTGCCAAATTCAATGCTGTGAGAGCTTGTAAAAAATGTCATAAATCTGCATTCACCCCATAACCTATAAACTCTTCCTACTCATTGGGTAGTATGATTTTTCTGTACGTGTGTAGAACAACTCTGAAATGGGGAGAAAGTGCATGTTTCTCAGGCTGCAGAAGGAGGAAACTTGCAAGTGGAAGGAGATTACAGGATTATGGGTTCATTACTTCCAGCCTCCCAGGTTAAGTTCTCCTTGCATTGTTAATTATTTGAATGGAAGATTCCATGTGAAAATAAAGAGTCTATTTAAACATTACCAATTATTATTAAGTACTAATAACCAAGATACCTGACTCATCAGGCTTTTGAAATTATTTAAAAATTAATGTTTCTACACAGTCGGTGTACTTGCTGTCGTCTCTGCGGGGTGGACTGTCAGCCTGGATGGTAGAACAGAATTAGCACAGAATGAAGGGCTGGGTGACCAGTGAAAAGGTTTTTAGAACTCATAAGACTCATAGAATGGTTACCTTTTTTTACATGTTAATTTTTAGATGTTTATTCATCCCCCCCTTCTTATCTGTAAAATATCAGTTAAAATAAAGCATTAAATTGAGGACTGAAGGAAAACCAGTCCCAACCAACAAAACTGCTCCCAGCACCTTGTTGAAAAAGTCAACAGCTCTGCTGTCTATTTTGCATCTCCATCCCTTTCCTTTCCTTGCTCTCTGCACCGTGTTTCATTTTTGTCTTTTTGTAAAAATTGTACTAGGCTTAGTGTGTGGTAGTGCAGACTTGAAAATTTTGCTCTGAGTTCATCAGGTGTTTTTGTAATTTTGTGGTTGGTGTGAAATATTTTGAGACATCTTTTATTTTCGTCTAGAAACAAGATTAAAATACTATTTATTGTAAAATATGTGGGAACCATAGATGTATATATATACTTAGAATTTTCTGTGTACAGAGAAAGTATGTGTACACATTTCTATGTAAATAAAAATAATTTGCTAAATCTGTCACATGACTTCAGGGTATTTTTTAAAGAATATTCTTGTTTCTTTTCCTCACAAGTATTTATTGTGTGTGCACATACATCTGTATGTTTGCATGTGTGCAAGTGTGTGTGTGTGTGTGTGTGTGTGTGTGCACGCGTAATATCAACTGAGCATTAAGATTCTCCATGTGTACTTATTGAACAGAGCAGCTCAACTATGGAGATTATAAAGCAGAGTAAAAGGATTATTGCTTTAAAGCTTGGCACATAGCCTGGCATCCAGTAAGAACTCCTTAAGTGTGAGTTGCCATTATAATCATATTATTATTATAACATGAAATGAGATTTAAAGCTATCTGATGTTCAAAAGTTGAGTGACATAAACGTTACATCCATAAAAAGAAAAAAAACACTAAATCAGTATAGATTTCAGCAGGATTTTAAAAAAAAGAAAGTTCCCCTAGGCATATTTTTAAATTGGAGTAGAACATATGCCACATGTATTTTTAAGTCATAACTTTATTTCAAAGCCTACATAATTGTCAGTAATGGCGCTTGGCACAATGTAAATCAGATTCCATTTCAACATGCAAATGCACACATTTCTACAAAACCATTTTTGCCTTTGCGCACTGCAGTGGAAGGAACGGATATTCAAGGATATTAATGTAAGACAAATTTTACACCCAATCAGAAAGTGTTTAAATTAAAAGGAACAGACCCTTTAAAAATAAAAGTTAAACTAATAGATTATACACGTGAAATGAATATAATGTCACACATCAATATACCTCAATAAAAAATTTTCAAAACTTAGAAAAACAACAGGAGCAGAAATTTAATCCTCAGGGTGACGCCAGGCAAGATATGCTCAGGGCCTCTCCAGACCTGCTTTACTAGAGAGCAAACTAGTTTGAAGACCTTTCACCCCTCAGCAGAAACAGTCTCTCTACTCATCACCACACAGAAGGAGAAAAGAGGCCATGTTTCCATGACTGAGTCCAATGTGGTCACACCAGCCACACACACTGTCAAACCTGTAGAAGGTAAGTGAGAGAACGATCCTGTGGACAGCAGGCCGGCTGCAGTCAGTAAAGAAGAAGCACTTCCTTACTTCGTGGTACTTGGCACTTCAACACATTCTCATGATCTAAAGTAACAGCAGCAACGAGTGTGGTTCTCTGTTAGGGCCACTCCTAAGAGCACTTGATATATATGGCATTCAAGTCCCTCATCTTTATTGTAAAACACTTTTCTTCTTTACTTTATATGACCCAGACGTTGCATGCTACATTTAGGCACGCTTGCTACATTTTAAACATTTCACATTGAACTAAATCTGTCTGCATTAAAGATGAGGTTCTGCTGGGTTGGACCTGCCATTATGGCTTTGCAAAGTGTGGTCGGCAGATCAGCAGTATGAGCTGTAAGCTTGTTACAAACGTAGACTCTCAGGTCCCAGCCCAGACACTGAATTGGAGTGTTCATTTTACCTCCAATTTTAATTGGAGTTTTCATTTTAACTCCAAAATCCTCGTGAGACTTGCATAAACATTAAAAACCAATAACTTCCCTAGAAAGTCTGAGTTAGTATAAGTGCTATAGGAATTAAGAATCTTCATAGTAAATAAGCACCCTAGAGTATGTGATTCAAATGAACTTCTGACAATACTTTGTTTTAAAAAAGTTAAAGGAATGGACACTTTTAAAAACAAAAATTAACCCTGGCTGGTATGCTAAATGGTTAGAGCCAAAGGATTGTGGGTTCCATTCCCAGTCAAGGGCAAGTACCTGGGATGCAGGTTAGATCTCTGGCCCTCCTGGTCAAGGTAGGTTCGGGAGGCAACCAATTGATGTATCTCTCTCACATCAATGTTTCTCTCTCCCTCTTTCTCCCCTTCCTTCATCCCTGCCACTGTCTCTAAAAATCAATGGAGTAAAATATCCTCAGGTGAGGATTAAAAAAATGTTTTGAAAAATTAAAAGTAGAAACAAAAAATTAAACTAAAAAATTGTTAAACAAATGGAAAAAGTGATCACACGTGGAAGAGTAAGATTGCAGAGAGTGTGGCCTGCACTGTCTCTTAGTTCAACCCTCTCCTTTGTCAGGCAAGTGAAACTGAGGCCCCATCAGAGTCAAGGACACGCCCAGCAGTAAGTGACAAACCCAACTGAAATGCAGGTGCCTCGACTCCTAGTCCCAGGTTGTACGTTACACAAGAAAGCTAAGTTAAGGCAGATATTCAAGACAAAACAAAAGTAATTGCAGTGAGCTTATATCAAAACATAATCCAGAGGCCAAAACTAAACATGAAAATGGCTCGAGATGCTCTCTCTCTAAAACCTTCAGAATCATAACTTCTTTAAAAACACAAAATTTTTAAAATCTAAAACTAAGGAAAAATAAAGTGAGGATAGAGCCATTATATTGAAAGATAAGAATCCTGAGTATTATAGGTATATCTCACTAAGAATTTCCAGTAGCTACATTGAATACTACATTTGACAGAATTTTTAAGTGATTATAACACCTGATAATGTATTTTCAAAGAAATAGGTAAATTGTGTGGAATGTCTTAATTCCCTAAAGGTCTGATTCTACCACATAAAGAATTTTAAATTAATCAGTCTATAAAATAGAGATGGAGTTATGCACTTTTACTTGCAGTAAAACTATAGTTAACCCCAAGATAATTAATCAGAACTTCCAAAGAATGGAAATGTAATATTTTCAATTGTAGGAGACAAATCACAGGGAAACAAGCTCATGTTAGAGTCTGGTTTCTTCATAAAAATTCTGTAGATGACATTCGAGGGTAATTTCATATTCACCTCTATCTCCCATGCCATGCTGTGAAGTCTGGAACCCTGGGAACATATCCCATCCTTCATTTTCAATTTCCTCTTTTTTTTTTTATCCAACTCAGCTCCCCACAAGTAGTACGAAATCTATTATCCAAAAAAACTGCATTAACTTCTTCGTGTCCTCCATAGCACCTGGCAAAGTATATGCTATGTTCAGCATCTGTCACTTGATATTTAAAAAATTTCCAGTGCAATGTAGTGACTATTCAAGACCCCAATCTACCCATGTAATGTAAACGCTATCTTGCACCATTTTCAACGTAAATGTATTGCTCCGGCTGAACACAATGCCCATTGAATGCTAGCTCCCAGAAGCACAGAAACTTGAAAGCTGGAAACAATTTTAGAAAACATCTAGAATAAGTTTTGTTTATCACATAAAAGAGACCTGATGAGATTTAACAGCCGGGTGATT